TTTTTGGAATACGGGATATCTAAGAGGGATTTATTCTTCCTTTAACAGAAGATACCACTACCGCACCGAAGTCGATGGATTCTGAACCGAAGGCTACCCTCGAAGTCCCGTCATCATCTAAAGTTTCATCTATCGCCGTAGAAGTCGCAACAGAGGCTACTACAGTACCAGCTTTTTGCATCGTCTGTGCTTCCTTGAACAACCTTTACGCCGTTACTTTGGGTCCGGTCAACCGAAGCGACTTGCAGCTATCTAAGGACACACCGGCAGACAGCAAAACCAAGTAATTGTGGCATTCTGCAAGATTCTTTTTGTGTCACATCTGGACCTGACTTTTGTAACTTTTAAGCCATGGCTAAAACTCATGCCTGCCCTATTTATTACCATAATGACCAACACTTTGTGTGATCGTTACAATTGAACCGCTTTATGCAGCTGTTGTCTTGTGTAAAACCAAGCCGAAATATTCGTTCAACAGACAAAATCGTTGTAGTAATATGGTATCAAATTTAGAGATTGCGTGACAAAGGAACTATTGCCAGCTGTTGACGGCCTACATTTCGGATGCCTGTCGTTATCATGCCAAACAAAAACTGCTTTAATGCCTTATTTCCTAAGGTAGCAGCCCTTTCTGCTAGTTTCTGAACGCATCTAATTGCGATGCTAAATGTCTAATCGACCTAAAAATTCTTTTAACCTCCTAGATTGAGCAAGCCGCAAGTGCTGCTCTGTCAGAAATGCGCTTTACGCTGTCGAATGTCGGCCGTCAAAGTTGCCTCTTCTGCCAAGACTAGAACGACAGATGCCTTAGGTGAATGGTTTCGCAGGCGCAACCAGGATGGCGAAGTTTCTCTGGGCTGTGAAACGGAGCCGATTTGCCCAGCAACACAAGTTCCCTCTCCAGACTCTTGTGACACCTGTTTTCTGGCAGAACTTCTTAGCTACTTCCAGAGGGTTCTGTTGCCGCTGCAAGATCAGCTCACGGAGTCCTCGACACCGGACGATTGCCCAGCTGTCGAACCGTTAGGCTCTCTCCTCTTTCTCGCATGCACGACTCGTCCAGTCAAACCAGAGGAGAAATCGAACTGGGATCTATTTAACAGGTATTACTAACTACTCCAGATTCTTCAGGCTTGCCTTATGTACGTTACTTATTTTGGTCTATTTCGTATATTTGCATGTATAAGGAAGCTTAAGCTGACTTTCACAAATAGCTGGGGATGGCATACCTCTGCGCTTGCAAAGAAACTAAATTTTCCAGCTTTATTGTCATTCGTAAAATTAGGAACAGTAAGGTGGATATTTCCTCCATAGATTTCTGCACGGCTAGAGCCTGTACTTGGGTACACAAAGTACGATTTTTTCCGTGTATGCTAGTTAGCACTTGAGTTCTTCTTCCCAAACAACAGCGACTAACACGGTCTCAGAGCCACATAGGTGACATGTGCAATATCTCTCTTTGTTCTTCCCGCATCCACCC